TATATATTTTAAATGCCATTGCCCAACTTCAACTGTCTCATGTTCAACCCTGACTCACATCCCCAGGGTTTAAGGTATCCTCATCACCACCCCTGACAGGGCCCTCTACAGCAGGCAGAGGTGGCCAGGCTGTGGCTGCATATCCATGAGCACACAAGGCTGCTCACTGACTTTCTTGTAGTCCAGCTTCACTGACCTTCAGGCCCTGGCAGCTGTCACTGTTTTCCCTCCCTACCTAGGAGGCATTTGAAAAACTAATAAATCACATGTGCAGTGGACCAAGCCATCTCCTGATCCTCACCAGGACTGAGGGCACCGAGGATGTAATTACCGCTTGGCGAAGCTTCATGGGGCCCTGTGACCCCAATGTGGCCAGGAGGGAGCGTCCTGAAAGGTGACATCACCAGCTGTGGTCCTTTCATCCATCTCAAGGTGGCACCCCATTTGGTGTGTGGCCCAGAATTGTGGGTGGCACAGTGGGTCTTCTGGAGGTCAAGAGGTCCTTGTTATGTATTTGGGAAGTCTCCAGCCCCTTTCTGTCCCAGCCTTTGCTGAGTGCTCTGTGTGAGCTGCCTCTTCCCCTTCTCTGCCCTCTTCTAAAGGCTTTTGCTAAGGTTGGTTCACAGTCACCCATTCCAGGGGCCCACTCAAGCCTGCGAGCCAGACACTGTGGCAAGGCCTGCACTGTAGACTCATCCCCACTCCCAACAGGGTACTTGCAGCTTCCTGGAGTCAGTTTCCTGTTCAGCATAACAAGCACTAGGCTACCTCGGCCTGCTGTGTGAGCTGGTGAGCAGACAGCCTGGCATCACCAGTGCCAAATCCACAGGTCTTGGCCTTGGAAGCTGACAGATCCAGACAACAGGAAAGAACTTAGCAAGATGCTAATGTCCTATAGTTGAGCCTCCACAGTCATAAGGGGCAAGGACATTCAACCACAAGGCAACTGGGCTAAATACAGTAGTAGCCCAGAGTTCAGATCTTAGGCTGTAAGGTGGGGATATTAACCATCAGGAGACAGAGGCATTTACAACAGTGCTCAACCCATAGGAAGGCCTAGCGACATCAGAATCATGGGTTCTTGTGAGGATTGGCCATGAAATGCTGTATCGTGTACATGGCACGGTGCCAGCCCTCAGCAGCGATGCTGACAGTGGCGGCTCTAGCGCTTACGTCACTCACATGTTTAAAGAGGGAATCATAGCCTCCCCCTGGACTGTAGTGAAATGCAAGAGGCCTCCTGCCCAGCACTGCAGGATTCATGACAGCACTTGCTGTGCGTGGCTGTTCTTGGTTTTTCCACGAAGAAAAGCAACCTTGGGCTGACTGGTAGCTGGTAATCCTGATGCCAGAGAGCAAAAAATTTCTTTTCAAATGAAACAATTGTTTCTTTTATATCGTGCTGATGCTCCCAGTCTCCGGGCTCAATATGGCACAGAAATGCCCTTTAATGCTGTGCATGGAAGCTGGGACAGAGAAGACGCCTACAGAGAGCTGGTCTTGCTCTTCCCCAGCTTCAAGTTTTCAGAAAAAGACACAGAAGTCCTGCAGGGTAAGTTGTCAAGGCCGGTTATCTTCATTAAATCTGAAAGTGAAGTTTATGATTGTGTGCTTGAGGGTGTGAAACTAATGGTTACTTGGCTCCTAACTGTAATAAAGGCCTGTCTGAAATCATGGGTCATCAGGTGACTAGTGTCAACATTAAACCATTTTGTGCCTCCACAGAGTAACAGTGCTGCTTTTTAATACCACATGGCATTTTTTTGCTGCTTGTGGTGTCCTGTTTTCATCGTAAAAATACTTCCCCTTTCCCTCTGCAAATCACTGGAGAAAGTATTTAACTTTTTTTAATTAAAAAATTTTTAAAATTTCACCTGTGCTTTGCATACTGACCACTTACTTCTCCCAACTCCCTATCATCTTGTCCACCCTCCTTCCCACGAATCTCCCTCTCCTGTTCATGTCAGTTCATTTTATTTTGTGATCCACTAAGATCAACCAGTGCCATCTGTGTGACTGGGTTTGGAGCCAGTCATTATTAGTGCCTGGTGGGCTCAGCAGAGGGTAATTCCCCCTCTCCCATAATCCATAGGCAATAGTTCAAAGGTAAGGGGTAGACCTTGTGAGCCCCTCTCCCCTTCTTCGACTGATTGATAGGGCTGGTCCTATATGAGCCCAGTGCAGGTAACTACAGTCAATGTGAGTTAATGACTGAGTCATTAACGAATGATGTTTCTGTCTTTCGCCTTATCTTCCTGCTCCGGCTGACTTCCCACCCCTGTCCCACAATATTCCCTGAGCCTCAGAAGGGGCAGTATGAGGGACTTGGGCCCCCATCTGTAATCTGTGCTCTGCTTCTTGGGCAGCCCTGAGTCTCTGCATTTACTGTTGCTTCTCTGAGGCCGGGAGCCACATTTTTCTATGGGTGTAAGTATAGGTATCTAGGAGGATGTCACTGCTATGTCAGTTTAGTTAACCATAAGAAATACATTTCCTCCATGGGTCTACTACCTCCCGGTATCCAAATTGTTGGCTAGGCTTACAGAACCAGGCAATGGTCTCCCCTGGTCCCCATGGAGAGAGTCTTGAATCCACGTAGAGGACAGTGGGTTCCTGCCCTACACCTCTTGCACAGGTGGTCTAATCTGGCTTTCTAAATATTTTCTTTTTACCCCCTTTAATCCTGGTTACCCTCCCATACCGCACCCTCATTTCCCCAACACCACCATCCCGTCTCCCTCTGTGGAAACCTTTCAAACCACAGTATCCCCTTTTCCTTTGTGTCTTTTTGAGACAAGGTCTCCCTGTAGCCCCAGCTGGCCTGGAACTCACTGTTAGACCAGGTTGGCCTTGAACTCAGAGATCTGCCTGTCCCTGCTTCCTGAGCCTCTTTACTTTCTTTTCACCTATGCTCTACTATCCCCTCTCCCTGAAAGTGACCCCTCCCCCATCCTCATTTCTGGGAGTCGAGACTAGGACCCTCATGAGAGAGAGCACACAATGCAGCACTTTTCCTTTTAGGGCCTGGATTACCTCACCTAGAATGCATTCTCCGATTCCATCCATTCCCTTGAAAATTTCATTTTCCCTCCCAGCTAATACTCCATCGTGTATGTGCCATATCTTCCTTATCTATTCATCAGTTGGGGGGCATCTAGGTTGCCCCCATTTCCTAGCTATTGTGATAGGGCAGCAACAACCATGGATGTGCAGGTATCCCTCTCATAGACTGTAGAGTCCTTTGGTGTATGCCCAGCAGTGATACAGCTGGGTCTTATGTGGTTTGTTTTTGGTGGGTTTTTTTTTTTTTTTTTTTTGGTCTTTTTGAGACAGGGTCTCCCTGTAGCCCCAGCTGTCCTGGAACTCACTATGTAGACCAGGCTGGCCTTGAACTCACAGAGCTCCATCTGCCTCTGCCTCCCGAGTGCTGGGATTAAAGGCGTGCGCCACCACGCCCGGCCCAAAGAAACCTCCAGACTGATTTCCAAAGTGGGTGCACTAGTTTACAGTCCCGGCAACAGTGTATGTGTTCCCCTCCCTACATCTTCCCAGCATTGTTATTGGTGTTGTTTTGCTTTTTTTTTTTAGACAGGGTCTCCCTGTAGCCCCAGCTGGTTTCAATCTCACTATGTAGACCAGGCTGGCCCCAGTCTTTGCCTCCTCCTGCCTTTGCCTCCCAAGTGCTGGGACTAAAAGTATGCATGCCACCATACTTGGCCTATTGGTATTCTTGATGATAGCCATTCTGACCGTGGTGAGATGGAATCTTAAAATGGTTTTAATCTGCATTTCCATAATGGCTAAGGATGCTGAACGCATTTTAGTATTTCCCAATTCTTTGCTAAAAAATTTAGTAACTTTTTGAAGCCTGTTTCAAAGCTGGGTGTCCCTTCCTTACATCCCTGTGCTCCCCAGTCCCTTTTCCAGCAGGCTGGCTGAGAAGTTGGGCTGCATAGAAAGGGTCCTTCTGTAGTCTGCTGTGGCCTCCTATTCCTCAGAGTGGGCTATGAAGGCTCAGGATCTTCCCCTCTGTGGGAAGCATTCAATGTCTGGGTAAAGTGAGCCAGGCTATCACCTCCTTCAATCTGGGTGAGAGACCCAAAGAGTTCAGAGTGTGTGACAGCCAATTCCTCAACCAATGTAGGAGCTGGGCCTGGACACCAGTGAGGCTGCAGTGACATGAAAAGGGTGGGAGATGAGTATTCTAGGAAAAACCAAGGCTGTGAAGGTCAGTTTCTCAAGAGAAGGCTGCTTGCAGATCTAAGACGCCAATTTCCTTAGCGCTTGGATTTTAACCAATATATTTGCCTAAATGTCTGAAATGCTTATGGTCTTAAGATACCAAACCTAGCATTTCTTGGGTGGTCAAAAGGCAAGGTAAGGTGTGGCGAGAGCTGAGGAACAAGTTGAGTACCAGCTCAGGGAGTCATGAAATCTGAGGACTGCAGGTTGGTGTTAGAGACCCAAGTTCACACAGCCCAGCACCTGTGTTCTTGTCACCTGAATGTGCACTCTGCAGGGACAGAGAACCCTCATTCTGCTGGGCCATGTACATCCTCATCCACTTGGGGCCAGTCTGGGGGTGGGCAGAGGGTGAACCGGTTGGAAACAACTTATTAGGGGGTCCTGGGGAGCGTTGGGAGATTTAGAACCTGAATTTTGGCCTCGGGCAGCAAAGCAGAGGGGACAACTCCAGACAGAAGGGTCTGAGCCCAGATCACACTTGGAAATACCCACACAGCCTCCACAGATGCAACTGTGACACACGAAAGGGCGGCAGCGTGACTTTCACTTACCTAGCACTTAACCTGTTAAGGAAAGGGCCTTTGAGACAAACCCTGGGTTGGAATCTTGGCTCCATTATTCAATTAAATGACTTCTGGAAAGCTGCTTACCCGGCTGGGCCCATTTCTTCATGTGTGAAATGGAGATAAGGATAGGCCCATTATAACTTCAAACTAATAATTCCAAAATCATCATCTTCCTCAGATTTGTGAAGATGAGAGGCTATAAAGGTCTAACCTGTGATTTCACTTGCTCATTCTTATAATTCTCGAACTCCCTATTCCTAACACACCCATTAACCCCTCTTTGCTGTCTCTCCTCGGGCTCTTTTCTCCTTTTTTTTTTTTAAGGCAGGAGGCCTGGAACAGGGTTTCAGAAGTCTTACGGAACACCTGTCATCCCCTAGGTGATGAGACTGAAGGAGCGGTGGACCCCACACAGGGCCTCTAGCATGAGGTCAAGGTCACAAGGCCACAAGGTGAAATGTCAGCGCACTCCCATCTGCACAGAAGAAACTTCAGAGGAAGACTTCTCTTTAGACCACCAGTGTTCTTGGTCTAGCTCTTTTGTGGACAATGAAAATGGCAGTCTATGCTTTGCTCTTATTAAGCAGTACTCAGAACACACCCTACACTCCAGTCTTTGGCTTAAATTTAAAAAGTAAGTGGACGTGAGTCACTGTGTTCTGTCAAGATGTGGCTTCACCTTAAGAGGACACAGGATCTCCCCAACAATAAATCTGTTTTTGATCCTAGCTTGGACTTAAAAAAAATTTTGTGTGTGTGTGTGTGTGCGCACGCGCACTAGTGCAGGTCAGAGTACAACACCGGGGAGTCACAGTTCTCCTTCCACCACACAGGTCCCAGGGATCCAACTCAGGTCATCAGGCTTGGTGGCAAGCCAAGTGCCTCTACTTGCTGGACCATCTCACCAGCCCCTAACCTAGTAATATGAAATTACCTTAAGATAGCTGTGACACTACCAACATACTGATGTGGGAACACGTATGAACAGGCTTTCAGTGCTGCCCATGTTACCTGCCCAAGTGACAGGGACAGCCAGATCCTAATGCTGCCATTAATGCTGCCAGACCCACCTACGCAGTTCTCCACACATCAGGGCATGCTCATAAAATGACCGAGGTTATGAGTGGAACAAGGGTTAATCTAAACTGAAAGCCAGGATGCCAAGGGTCTTTCTTATTTCTGGCGAGAGGAAAGACGGGGCAATCAAAGCCTTTGAAAGCAGGGGAAAGAGGAAGAGAGCGGGTGGGGGACCTGACCTGAGCAGGAGATGGCTGTGGAGCTAGAAACCTTCCCAGGAGGGATCCGGAAGGGTGAGGGCTGGGCAGGGAGGACACAGTGAAGTCATGGGGACATACCCTTCTCTTACTACTTTCAGATCAAGGATGATGTGGGTTCACCCACTACAGGGCCTCTTTTCTAAGAATCTAGAAGATTCATGGCATCAGGAATGAGAGTTTGGGAAGGGGCTCCCTTGAGTGGCTGTAAGGTCTGTCCACTCTGAGGACAGTGTACTTTGGTGCAGACCCTCAGCCTGACTTTCCCAAGAGAAGCCAGCCCAGGGTGTAGCTCCACTCTGAGCACTGTTCTGGCCTGCACTCAGCGAGAGCCTGGCTGGCTGCCTGGCAACACCAGAGGAAAAAGCCTGGGCTGGGGAGCCTGAGGGGAAGGTGGCTCTGCCATCTACTCCACAGCCCCATAGCTCCCTCAGCTTGAGGCCAAGACCTGGAGCAAAGATTTGCTCATGAGGGAAACAAACATGCCTGTCTCCTCAGTGTTCACAGAAGGTCTACATGCATCACCCTCCTCCCTCGTGCCCCATGTTGTCCTTGGCTATTTGCAGTGAGGTTTTGAATTGTGGGTGGCGGTGCAGTCTGTAGATTGAGAAAAGCTCCAGCATGCAGCAAGGAATGGGGATGGCTGTGTGTCGTTGTAGATGTGCAGCAGCTGGTCATTTGTGAAGCTCAGTCTGACCCGCGCATGGCAATGGAGGTGCACACACCGGTGGGGCAAGGAGTGGGTGACTGGGTAGACACGACATGAGGGATGGGGGTTGGTGGCTGCAAAAGGGCACTGGTAAAGGGTCTGCTGCTCTTCTGGTGGCCCAGGAGAGGAGCCCTCAGACTGCTGCAGAGGCCTCTGAGTCATTGCTGGTCTGAGGTATGGGTTCTACTCTGCATTGCACAGCCACCTCTCTGCTCTGCCCTTCTTTCATTTCCCAAGACCTGCAGCCTCCGGAGGCCAGTTCACATTATCCCCTACCATTTCCTAACAGTCCAGACATTCGGAAAACAGACCGTTTAGAAGTTGCCATGATTTTTCTTGGCTTTTATTAGCATGTGTTAAAATCATATTATCCAAACACTACCAGAAGAACATGTATTGTTCTGAATAAAGTGCTTAAGGAAAAAAATGCAACTTATTAAATTGGACATTCTTTTCTAGTTCATAAATTCTGGGTTACAATCAGGGCACAAAAGGAGAAACAGAATGCAGTATTAGAGAGCAGAAGCTCAACTAAGAACTTGGGTGTAGACATAAGACCATGTCCCATTCTCCCCACTTCCTTGCTGACTGAACACTGCACCTGCGTAAAGCAGCAAACAGCTTTGTTTTAATAAATACATTTCCCTTCATTCAAATAAGAAAAGTTATCATAAAGCACTTTTATGTGACCATTGTTTATACCCACAGGCAAGATTTATTCACAGAGTTTAAGGGTGAAAGTTGTTCTACCAGGTCTTTAGTTCTCTAATGCTATTTGGGTTCAAGATTGTCTGAGCAATGCATTATTGGTTTCTTTCTGTTTACCTGGTACTTTTAATACCAATGCTGCAGCATTGTGCGTTACAAATGCCAAACAAGGATAGTCTCCACACCAGAAATGGCAATGAGTGGGCCCTAAACAAGGCTCAATTCCCAATAAACTAGTTTTCTCACATTAGTACTCTGATATCTTCACAAAACCCAAGTTGTATTGTGGCATTTTAAAAAAATCAGTCATGTTCTCAGTGGGAGGACCCCAACAACTTGGAAATCTCTGTGTTTGCATCCTGGGTGGACATGTTGAAAACAGGAAAAATTGCATTAAATACATTTTAAAAACATTCATTTGCAATCAACCATATTTAAGTCTTCCAAGCAAGGTGCAGGTTGGTGACAGAGCAGCTTCTTGTGAGCAGCCCCCCAGAGAGTGGCTGGTGGGTGGTGTAGGACCCCATCAGTGGCACATTCACTGCAACTTTTTTAACTGGAGACCTCATAACCTGCCTGTGATGCTTCTGATCTCCTTCTAGTAAAAGGAAAAGGGAGGCTGGTTCTACCTTCAAACAGCAAGAGGAGCCTCTGTTGAGTTCAACTTGAAGGGTTGCCAAGAAAAAGAAGTAATTTTCTGTCATCCTGGGGGAGATTCCCTTCCTTCTCTCAATCTGAAGAGTTTTTAGCTTCATTCAGAAAGACCTCAGATCTTGTTTCCACAAAAGCACACCGATCAGCAACCCCGAGCTACTGCATGGAATTGCTGAGCTAATTCAGAAAAAGCTTTCTAGACAAGCTGTTCTTGCCTCTTCCTACAGATGTGTTTGTGGAACGCTCTTAGTTTCACAGTGATATATGCTGTGGCAGGAAGCACAAGGTGAGCTGGCTTTGTTTCCAGGAAATGGCGACTTACTCTGAGTTTGAATGTAATGTTTCAGATCTGTTTCTGAATCCTGCCAGATACCAACTCCAACGACAGGACTGAGGGCAGATGGGAGGCTCTAGGTCTCCAGCCCTGTCAAAGGCAGTCCACCTGCTCAGGCTGGGCGGGCTTCCTCTATCAGTGGTTCTAGTTCCCACTGATGTTTTGAAAACCCACGGTGACTGCTGCCTCACTTTACTCCATTCCACCACCCTTCTAACTTGGAAGCCTGAGAACTTATTGAATTAGGCTGAAAAAAAGGCTTTGTACCTGCTAAGATTGGCGGCAGTAAGATGCTAGCTTACTGTTTGCACAGCACCATGTGTAAGTGCCTGTTATTCAGGCCGACGTAGCCAACTTTGTCTTTTTTTTTTTCTTTTTTGTTTGTTTTTATAAAGAAAATCTATGTAAGTTGAGGTTCAGAAATGCATATATTTTTTTTTTTACTTACAAATATTCATCTGACCAAAATTCAACATAACCTTTATGGAACACTAAACAATTGTTTTGCTTTTAAAATAACATTTCATTCAAACTGTATATAATTCAGTAAAGTTTTGTTTTGTTTTATACAGCAAGCAATGCTTAAACCCTGGAAAATCTGTAGAAAAGAGATTTTCACACAAAATAAGAAAAACAAATCTGAGGTATCCCTCACCCACACACCCATTCATTCTGACTCATACGCATGTGCATGCATGTACACACACATACACACACACACTCACGCACGCACGCACATACACACCCATCATTCTTGCTCACAAAGTGGCTGCAGCATAGGCAAAAAACTGTAGGTCCAAAGGAAAATGACTGATTGTTCTAATACAGTCCAGTAGCTAACAAAAAAAACCAAAACAGAACAAAACACAATAGTCCTCCGAGGAAATCACCACCTCAAAAAAAAGTTCTCAAGATGAACTTGAGATCTATGCCTATTAAACTGCTTTTGCAAAACAGCTCCCTGCAGTCCAAGGTGACTTGTGCAAACAGAAGGAATCAAACGCGGCTAGTCCTGTACTTCCTTTAACAAGGATGCGGGATGCTCTCAGGTTCTCGGGGCACTCCCATCATGCCAGGTACTGCTGCAGTGCCGTCTTTGCCCTGAAATCATAAAGTTCCTGTTAGCCATCACCTCACAACTGTAACTGAGGGAAAAAACTTGGGCTCATCCATGGTATTTAGGGAGGTTTAAAAAACACCCATCTGAGCCTGGGTGTGGTAGCACACGCCTTCTAGGCCAGCACTCAGGAGGCAGAGGCAGGCAGATGTCTGAGACTAGCCTGGTTTACACAGCAAGTTCCAGGTCAGTCAAGGATACCCCGTCTCAAAACACCAGAAAAAAAAAAAAAAAGTGTGTATTTCCAGAGGGAGCTGCATAGCTAACCTTACGCAGCAGAGACCTGCAGTCACCTGGTATTTCCAAACCCACTCTGGCTACATTCTTTCTGGACAGTTGTTCTTATCCTGAGCCTGGTGACATTCCACATTCCCTTGCAAGTGCTGACAGGCTATAGCTTGCCTTTGTTACTGGCATATGGCTGTGATGGATCTGGAACTCATACTTTTTCTTACAGTCATGTAGACTTTATATAGCAATGCACATGACTACTGGAGGACTCTTAGTGCTCTGCAAAGCTAGAACAAAGCTGACCCAGGATGAAGCGTTAAGGTGCTGATTAGAAGCGCACAAAGGGGGTCAAGACCCTGTGTCTCAGAACTGAGGAAGAAGGCTACAGTTTGGTAGACTTTTTTTTGGTCTCCCTGCCTAGGTTATGAAAAGAAAAGGCTAAAATCTGTAGTTATTATTAGCTGGCAGAAGGGGTACAAAGTAGACTAGGCCTATGATGAGCTAGACTCAAACATGGTTTCTATTGTCAAGTAATATATAATCTATAGGGTGTTTTGTTTGTTTTCCTGTGTGTGTTTGAGACATGGACTTACTCTGTAGTCTAGGCTGGGCCTAGAACTCACTATGTAGCCTAGTCTAGCCTTGAATTTCGTGATCTTCCTGTCCCTGCCTCCTGAGTGTTGGGATTATAGGTCTGTTGTGATGGATCTGGAACTCATACTTTTGTTAATGAAAACTTTTTAAAGTAGAACCTGAGAGTTGCCTTCTTTAGGTGACAGACTTTATTGTGCCATGTCAGTATGCATACAGAAGATCTTAATCCACACCTGTATTAGGATTCAAATCCTTTAAAACTGCCAACTCAGCTAGGTAGTGGTGGTGTACACTACAATCTCTTGTCCACACCCAAATAAACAAAAGAACCTCCCAATTCAATTCAACTTCCAGTTCTTTCTATAGCTAGTGGACTATGTTTGATCATTTGGGGACTACAGAAACTGTATGTTTATTGTATTTCTACTATCTGTTATCTAAGAAGCCTTCTGGACTGATGGTTTTAGAGAACAGATAAGTTTTTCTTAGAGAGGTTGGACAGCTCACTCTTTGATTTCTTTTTTTCTTCCCCAAGACAGGGTGGGTCTAGACCAAGCTTGCCTCAAACTCATGACATTCCTATCACAGTTTCCAAAGTGCTGAGATTACAGGTGAGTGCCAACGCTTTAAGATGACCACTTTTTCTTTCAACAGGCATTTGAGTATGGGAGGTAATGGAAACTTACACACCATACCAATTTGGAGAAACAGCAGCAGATTGGCCTAAAGCAACGCTAGGAAGAACCCAGGCCTATTCCACTGCCTGCTGGTGAGGTCTTTCCATTCTAGATCATCTATAGAGACAGTTTTAAGTAGAGCTGCTTTCACTTCTAAACAAACATGAGCAAAATTCCCAGTCAGCAACTTGGCTCTCAGTCAGACAAGCTGACAGAACCCATCATTTAAGAGTGGTAGCACAAGCTTTTTAATCCCAGCACTTGGGAGGCAGAGGCAGGCAGATCTCTTAAGTTCCAGGTCACCTGGGGCCACAGGGAGACCAAAAAAAAAAAAAAAAAGAGAGAGAGAGAGAACGAGCAAAAAGAGAGAGAGAGAGAATGAGCAAGAGAGCAGCTGTGGAGGGAGGGAGGGGATGGGAGACAGAGGCTCCAGCTCTCCAGCCTGCAGCATATGGCTGGCCTTGACTTTTGCCTTTGATACTATGCCCATCTGACTAGCAGCCTACACATCACTCAGGGACTTCTCTAACCTATGGGATGGCAAGCTTTACAGAGGCAGAAGTCCAGCCTGCTTTGTGGTGTCTGGAACAGCAATTTACTACTGCTGACAAGACAAATTGACAACTGAGACACGGTGTGAAGTTCTACAGGTGCTATGGGGTAGAGAAGGGTGCTCACATGGTCTGGGGGGGGGGAGGTTCTTGGAAATGGTGAGTCTGAGGAATTCTCAAGGAGGAATGGCCTCTGCTGGGCATTTTCTTCCCCGCTCTCAGAGCACCTCTGTGCCTGCCTATCCCCCGGGTTGTTCCTCCTGCTGTTTTGTGGAAGTTCTCTCATCTTTCTTACATGTGGGATGGAAAGTCTCAAATCTTGATCCTTAGCACTCTTCTCTCTTATACTCTGGCTCTCCTTAAGTGCCTCCAACCAGCTTCACAGCTTTAAACACCATCCAAATCTGTAGCCCTAGTCCCATTTTCCTGAGTCCCTTGGATATCAAACTGATACCCTAAAGTTGGCATGCCCAGTCTATCCCAACCCAATTCTCCAGACTCATACCATCTTGGTAAACATAATGCACTCCATGAAGTTGTACAGGCTAAAACCCAAGTACTTTCCTTTCCTCTCTTTAACATCCTGTATCAAGTCTGTAAGCTAGTACTGTCAACTCCACCTTCAACGAAATTCTCAATCTGACCATCATTACCACCCCATCTGGTGACTCCAAGAGCCTTTGTCTCCCTACCTCCATTCCTACCCCACAAGAACCAGTCCTCTACAGAGCTACCAGAGTGGGTAAAAAAAAATAATAATAATTCAGGCTGGGCGTGATGGTGCACACCTTTAATACCAGTACTTGGATGGCAGAGGCAGACAGAGCTCTGTGAGACAGAGGTCTACACAGTAAGGTCCAGGTTAGTTGGGGCTAGAGAGAGAGACCCTGTCTTAAAAAAAAAAGATTAGGAATTAGAAAAATGACTCAGAGATTAAGAGCACTGGCTGCTCTTGTAGAGGACCCAAGTTCAGTTCCCAGCATCTGCATGGTGGCTAACGACCATCCCTAACACCAGTTTCAGGGGATCCAACACCTTCTGGCCTCAGCAGGCACTGAGTGCATGGGGTGCACTTACATACATGCAGGCAAAACACTCACACAGATAAAACACAATTTAAAAAATCCAGATTCGATGTCTCCTCTCCTGAAAGCTAACGACTTCCTTTTAAATTCTGAGTAAAAACTAAGGTCCTTACCATAGCCTACAAGGCACTTTGAGAGCTGCCTCCTTCCGCCTATGACCCCGCCCTCACAATTTCTCCAACTCCACTCGCTCCTCTTTCAGCATGCCAAGTTCAGCCCTGCACCTCAGGGTCTTTGAGCTATCTGTGCTTCTGCCTGGACTGTTCTTCCTGCAAACATCTGTGTAGGAGACTCCTTCATCTCATTCTGGTTTATAATGAGTGTCATATTCCCAGAGAGTCCTTTACTGACGACACTAGAAAAAAATGTTCTTTACTCCTTACCTTGCTTTAGGTACCTAGTATATTATATGGTCATTGTTTACTGCCTGACTTGTGTGTGTGTGTGTGTGTGTGTGTGTGTGTAGACAGGGTCTTACTGTGTAGCCCTGGCCAGCCTAGAAATTGCTACATAGACCAGGCCGGCCTCAAACTCACAGAAAGTTAAAAATGAAGTCCAAGAATCTAAATAAAAGGTTGGTCATAAGAATTATTAAACATGTTAGACGTTCACAAAAAATCCAGACTACCCCAAAGCAAGGCCCATTTACGTTGATACTTACTTGTCACAAAGGTTTGAATCTGGTGACTGACTCAGTTTGTGTAGAATATCTACAATGCCCATGTCTCGTAATTTATCCTGGCGTTCTTGTGAACCTAAAAGATTAAACCTACTAGGTTACTGGGAACATGATGCAGGTCACTGCTCTCCTCCAGCCTTGCCAGAGTCTGTCTCCTTAGGCCGTGACCCCCCAACCCCCCCAGTGTAGCTGGATCCCTCCATGCTTGGACTTCCTCTCAGCTTCCTACCTGACCCCGCTGTCTCTTGGATTCTCCTTGCAAATCCACCCCGGGTTCTGCTGCTGAGTTAACTCTTCCATGGACTTCAGGGTCAAGGTTAGACTCTTCAGTCTGGTACAAGACCCTCTGTCACTGAGCCCCAGCTTTGCCACTCTTTAAGGATATGCTAACAGTCCTTACCAGGCTAAAGTTTTCTACTCCTTGTTCCTCTCAGCACTTCTTGCTGCCTTTCTATTACCATAAGTGGCAGCTCTAATTTCATAGCGCTCTACTCTGTCTTCCAACTAGAATACTACTTTGAAGCCTGGTTTTGACTCCCTGGGACAGATGTAATCCTTGGTATCTAGGCCTATGGTTGAATCTAGTTTTGCTTCCTTCTGCATTGTTCAGGCCAGAACTATTGAATGTGAGTAGTATGTTAGCTTCCCTCCACTTCCTTCCCCACTAAAAAGCCTAGTGATTCATTCCTGCAGTACCTTTTCTATGCCCAGCGACCCAAACTCTCTAGGGATAGAGACCAGAAACTTGCACTTGAAGAATTTCCCAGGTGAGGAGCACTGCCTGCTCTTGCAGAGGACCCAGGTTCAATTCCCAGCACCCACAAGGAAGCTAACAACTCTGTAACTCCAGTTCCAGGGGTCTGATGCCCTCTTCTGACCTCCTTGGAATTTGCACGACATGGGTACACTTAGATATACATGCAGGTAATACACTCATACACATAAAATGAAAAACAATAAATAAAATATTTTTTTTCAAAAAAGAATTTCTCAGATGATTTTAATGCAGCCAACCTGGCATGGAGGCCCAGTGCTCTCTTCCTGATTGCTGCCTTGGTTACATAAAGACATCACCTGGGAAGCATTAAGAGCCATCTATACCTAGAGGTCAAGTTAACTGGCCTAGTATAAAATCTAATATGTGCTAAGGTGAACCTTTTACCTAGAAAGGCTCATTGCCAATGAGGAGCATCACCATGAGCCTTTCCCCTACCATGTTACACTAGACAGTCCCTAAATGTGCTTCCTCAGGTCAAAATGAAAGACCCTTCCTCCCACCACTCTGCTCTCACCTTCAGTGCAACACGACATCCTCTTCATCATCCCAAAGGTAGGAGCTGTCGCTTCCTGCTCTCCCTTATCCCTGTAATCTAGTGCTGGGATGGCTTGAAGTTTGTGTGTTTGTGGGGACAACTCAGTGTTAAATACCTGACTGACACGTTAGTCTCACTGATTCTCACACCAAAGTGAGTCTGGGGGGTTCTGGGGCTCAGCTAGTCCAAGTGGGGGGCTTCTGTCCAGGACTTTAGAGGTACTTCTGCTTTCCCTATGTAAAATTTTCCTCACTAGTCTCTTACCTTCCTCTTCATTCCATATGAGGTTTGATATACAAAACATAGCGGCAAGCTGCAGTTTGACATGTGAATGACCCTATTGATGCAGAAAAGGAACAAAAATCAAAATGGGGTAATCTCAGGGGGAATCATTTTTCTCATGACATACCATAGGAAATTACAAGAGCTTATAAATCGGAACCAGAGGCCACAAACTGTTGTGAGGAGTTGTGAAGTTAACATTAAAGTGGGTAAGGGCTGGGCTGAAAGCAACAGGGGATGGTGGGAGATCTGGTCAACTGAGGAGCGGCTGGCCAAACAAAACAGCCCCGAGGCCACAGGTGCAGTGTATAGCGATGCATGTACCCAGAAACAATGGCATAGAACAAGTCCGGGCTCTTGACTGGTCTAGGCTTACAGTTACTAGCAGTTATAAACTGGATGTGTGTTTGCTATTTATCTCTGCAGCTACTAATTATCTTATTCACGTGGTCCAATAATTAAGGTGGGGAAAGAAATGAGGATATGCTCAGGGAGTTCAGTAACAACTAGACTTAAACACACAAACAACTTACGGTTTATTCTCCTGATACTATTTGCTGAAAACAAGATTTATAGATTACCTCCAGCTTCTGATCAATGAAATGACTCATTTCTATAAGAGTATCCCAAAGACATAGATCAAATTGCTGCTTATCAGGTGACAGCTATGACCAAGGAACCTCATATTCTAATACACAATTATTATTTATTTTCCTTGTTCTACTGTGAGTACAGCCATTTCTGCTAGAGGTGGATCATTTATCCCTATAGAATGCTTTCTCCTAAATGAAAGAGGACTCAATAAATAGTCTTTACAGATGGTTTCCCTGCTTGTCAGTTTTAATTAATGTGCATCTGTGGGAGTACTGATGGCATGATAGGCCCAAGGATTTCTGAAGGCTAATGCCGACATCTCCTCAGGTAGGACTACTCCTCCACTGAGAGGAGACAGGGAATGGGTATATCTTCTGCCACTGGAATTCTATGGTTAGTGATTCTTCTTTATCCTGCCAATGGTTTTAATGAAATACCCAGTTTGAGTTTATCAGGACAAAAGAGAATAAAACGTCATCTGCTTTCAAGTAAACAGAGTAAATGAACTTGTAATATAATATATCAAATATTTACTGTTAAGAAATTCATTCATAGCAAGTTCCAGGCCAGCTGGGGCTACAGGGAGACCCTGTCTCAAAAAAACCAAATCAAAACAGAGAAATTCATTTATCATTCATTCAATAAAATGAGAAGGTGGAGGGCAGGAACTTGATTCGGGTGGAGTGCCAGAAGACCTCTGAAAGGCAACACTTAAGCAGAGACTTAAATGAAAGGAAGGAGCCAGATCTACAACTCAAGCAGCTTGGAGGTCTGAGAAAGGAAACACTTGTTGAGGAAGTCTTTGGTAAGGAGGGACTGTACGTTCAAAGAGGTCATGGGCCCTTGTAGGATAGAGCAGGGACTTAGAATTTCATCCTGAGTTCAGAGGACGCCCCTGGAAGATTTACAACAGACGAGACCTGATTTACACTTTTAGAATGGCACTTTGGCTGAGGGGATTGTAGTTCAATAGTGTCCAGGAAGCTACTGTTATCACACAGGCAACTAGACAGGTGATACTACAGTAGGGGTACAGTGGAGCTGTGGTGAGGGAAAGATGTAAATGGACTTGAGATCAGTTGTGGGGAAAGGGTTCACAGGGCTTGCTGAAAAATTGGTTGAACGTGTGGACAGAGCTGGAGAAATCAAGGTAGAACGTGATTTGAGCAATGGGGTAGATGGCAGAGCCCCTGTACCGAGGACCCGGAAAGGAAGCATTCAAGTTTAGGGGAGACATCTAAGAATTTACTTATAAATAGCAACCTCAAGAGGCTGTTGGCAGCCACAGGAAGCTACTGAGTAGGCAGGAAGCTAACAAGAGTCGTGAAGGGAGGTCCAGCTTGCAGATCCACATTTTACAATCATTTGTAGAGATGGCAGTACCTAACATGGGATGGATGAGAGTCCCCTAAACCAGCGATTCTCAACTTCTCAACTCTGTACATAAGAATCACCCAGGCAACTTAAATTACACCCCAGACATATTTATTACATAAGAATCTTGGAAGGGAAAGGATAAAGCAAGCTTTCAAAGCTCCCTAGGAGGTTTTACTGTGCAACCAAAGTTGCAAACCAGCAACCTCAGGAGAGCAAAGAGGAGAGAAGATCCAAGGTAAGTAGGAGGTATGATGTCAGGGAAGCCAAGAGGAAGGGAAGTTCCCAAGAGGAAAGATCAGCTGTGTTCATGTCAGCTCTTAGCAGGGTGCATGAGGGCAGAAAGCAGCCTTCAAACTGACCACTACAGAGAGCACCAGTGACCTTAACTAGAATAGCTGCAGTTGAGTGATGGGGGGTAAAGGCCAGATAACGTAGGTTAGAGTCAATTTAGAGGTAAGGAAGGGGTTAGTATACGCAGATGTTTTTTAAAAAACAGTATTTTGGACAGCAGTAAGAAAAACAGCGTATCTTGATGACTCAACGAATAGAGGAGATTAAGATTTTCCTTCAGGTGCTGGAGATTAAAGCCAGGGACTTGTGCACTAGAAATGCTCTACCACTGGTAAGGAGGGTTTTAAAGACAAAACAGCATACTATGTGGTTATGAAAAGATAAAGAGAATTACCAGTTGAAACAGTAAGTTTTCATTCAACAAATACTGAGCATATATATACTAGGGGCTAGGTACTACAAAGGTGATAGAATGCACATGCTCCTTGTTTCATGGACCACACACACACACACACACACACACACACACACACACACATTTTTTTTAACTTTTTCTTTTTATGTGTATGACTGTTTCACCTGTATGTATGTAAGTGCACCCATGGCATGCAAAACCCACAGAAGCCAGAAGAGGAAATGCAATTACAGACAGTTGTTAGCCACCATGTGGGAGCTGGGAACTGAACCCAGGTCTTCTGCAAGAGCAGCCAGTGCTTTTAACTGCTGAGCATCTCTCCAGCCTTGGACCTCATATTTTGACAGAGGAGAAACTCAGTGGGTACACAAAGACCATCACTACAACGGACTGAAGTGCTCTGAAGGAATGGAACAACTGGCGTGGGTAAGAGCCTGGGGATGAAGTGTCAGTTCAGCTGAGATCTGAAGAGTGAGAGGGGGCGGAGAAAATAGTGCCCCTGGCAAAGAAGTCAGAATGGATAAAGAACTTGAGGTAGGAAAGAATATGGCTTCTCTGGAGCTGAAAGAGATCAGCGCAGTGAACAAAGGGAAGAGAATGAAATACCTCAGGGATATGGACAGTTAGGGCACAGTGTCAGGCCATCCTAAGAGGGCATGGAACTGATTCAAGGTGCCACTGAGGGAACTGTGGTTTGCGTTCTCTTAACAGAACAAAGAGTGAAGGTGAACAAAAGTCATGGGGGAGGGAAGAGTTAAGCTTTAAACAAGGAGAGAACGCGAACCTATTCTGTGGAAAATGGGGCACCAGCTTACTAGAAAAATCACTGAAGGACATAAGACAGGATTTTGTAAACCATGAACCCCTCAGCATGCTTCTGTGTTTTTCTCTCCAATTATTAACTGTGCAATGCCAGGCAAATAAAGGACAGCTTTGCTGGAGGAAGGAGGCCAGAGGTCTTTTATGGTTAGAATTTTGTCAGGAGACATGAACAAAATGAAAAGAGATAAGGGTGTTTAGCATCACATTCTGGCAAACTGGCAGTTTCTGTGATGACAACATGCCATGGCAGTCGGTGGCAGACTTTGTTTAGTGGCAAACAGGTCAAAGATGTGAGGTGTCAAGTGGCTAGAGGGCTCATCCACCATGGAACTGACACCAGAGGGAAAACAGGGACTGGGGGACACCAAGAGGGAACCAAGAGTTCAAGTGTTCAACGAGTAAGAGGAAGGCAGCCAGCAGATGACAAGGTGGGAGCAGGGTAGTAGTGCTAATGGCACCAAGGACACACGTTTCTAGGAAACAGGTGTTTTTCTGCTTCAGGATGGAAGCGTCTTTTCATTTATCACAGGGTAGTTCACCCTTCTTCTGCACAATGGGTTTAGAGTTACAATGCTACAGTCCTTGCCTTTTAATTCTGAGTGAGAGGGGACAACTGCTTACCATATAATATTTGATTTTCTGCAGGATGTCATCATTGGTCATAATAAGTTCTTTTGCTGTCGTCCCATCTGCTATGTTGGCTAGGATGCACAGAGTCTGGAAAAGAACAAAGACGCAGTGACCAAGGAAGCTCTGCAGTGCCCAGAATTATGCTCCCTCAAGAGCCTGGGCAATTTCTCCCCTGAAGGTGCATGGATTCTCACAGGTTCCACTAAGAATTTCCTGATTTCTCACCTCCTGACGTTACTGCCGACAACAATAACCACACCCCAGAAAAGTTGACCTTAAGCAAAATTAAGAGCTCAAACACGCCAATGGCTTCTTGTTGGGCTTTAAGCCACAGGTGTGTAAAGGCTGTCATATTATATAGGTTACATTATCATAGAAATCAAAGGGAAAATGTAATCTATTTTCTTAAAAATTTCATTTCTGGGCTGAGGGTAGGGTGTAGACCAGTGGCAGAAGGCTTGCCTAGCAGGCAAAAGATGCTGGGTTTGATATCTGGTACCACCAAAATACTATACAGGTCTCTCCAAAGAGGAAGGTTCACTGGCCATGTGCAATTAGTACATGTTGATGTCTTTTGAACCCTGACAAAGGAACAGAAAAAGAAATATAATGTGTAAAGGAGCTTAGTCTGAGTTGGCCTGTCGGAGAGACTGGCTGGAGCCTATGCCAGCTGGTGGGAAAGCACATCTGGACAATCACTGCACTGGCAACTGGGACTTCTGCTCAGAAGAGACTGTTCTTACTAGTTCTTACATTTTCACAGCCAAGATTAGGGTAAAGGTAATGACTGTGGCAGGGATATGACGCCGTGTCACATGGAGCAATTCAACATTTGCCGAGTACCTACTATGGGCCTATCCTCAGCAGAGTATGAGACAAGAATAAGACACACACCCTAACTTTGAACTGTTAAATAAGCAACTACATTTTACTGAAGTATAAAGGGAATGAAGAAAGCACAAGGTAGGAGCACCTGGTGGATACAGTGAGGGCCGGCAGAAGCTTCTTGGAAAAAGCAACAAGATCCTGAAGTACAAGAATCAATGACAAGAATGAGAGCTGAGGTCGGGGCATAGGTTCAACTTCCTCCCATCTTAACCTTTTCCTTTGTAAGACTTAATTAAGCTAATGAGGAAACTGTTTTCATATTCAGGTCTAAGCTCTCAGAAGCTCTATGATTTTTTGCTTAAATTAACACACAGCTGTTAACTAGGTTACTAGGGAATAGGCGCTGAGGTATGAACCAGAGGGCTGCCTTTAGCTAGAAGAGACACAGAAAATACAATTTATACAATCCAATGCCTAGGCAGGTACTAGGGGAATATTTATTCCAACTCGGTTAGTCAGACCATAAAACCAGAAGTGGGATAGAGATGTCATAAGGATGATGTGCTGGTGCAGGGCAAGCTTTCAGATGTTTGTTAGCAGATAGAGGACCCTAAGAAAATTAATAACAATAGAAAAAAACCTTTTTAAAAATGTATTTATTATATTATTATTATTATTCTTGTGTGTGATATGTATGCATGTGGGTACATGTGCCACAGAGCACATGAGGAGGCCAGAGGGCAACTCTGTGGAGTCAGTTCTTTCCTACCTTTATGTAGATTCCAGGGATTGGACTCAGGGTGTCACGCTTTTGAGAAAAGTGCCTTTACCCACTGAATCATCCTGATGGCCTTGCATGTTTTGTTTTATTATGTGTATGAGTGTTTGCCTGCCCATGTATGTATATGTACCACATGTGTGCCTGGTGCCCATGGAGGCCAGAAGAGGGTATTAGACCCTTGGAACTGGAGTTACAGATGGCTGTTAGCCACTATGTGGATGATAGGAACTGAACTCAGGTCTTCTGCAAGAGCAGCAAGCACTCTTAACCTCTGAGCCATCTCTCCAATTCTCCCACCTTTTGGGGGTCATACAGAGTTTTGTGATGTATCCCAAGCTGACCTTGAACTTGCAGCAATATTCCTGGCCTCAATCTCCCAGGTTCTAGAGTTACAGGCACATACCATCACACCCAGCTTGGATCTGGACTCTTTTCGATTTAGTCTTTGTAGGAAAGAACTTCTGACCATGATAAATCTAATTCACAGGGGTGATAAATTTGGTGAGGAGTTGACGGGCAATTGGTTTTAAAAGATCCAAGTTCAGATGACATTAGAACCACGTGAGTAATGGTTGTTCCTTCCACATTTTAGTCTCAACTGAACCTACCAGAAGGGCCAATGAATAGAGTATCTGATCCAATCAACACCAGACTCACTAATGCAGCATAATGAAATTATGTGTGGAAATACCACAGTCTTTCCCTCTAGTTCAGCTCTCCTTCTATGCTGACTATGGAAAGATTTCACAAGCCTTATAGAAGACCCACCTTCCAAGAGCCAACAAGGTGACACTCATCGGTGGTGATCCAATCCTAATAACTAGACTGCCAGACTTCACTAGGGAAAATCAAAATGCAAAGAGGGAGGCCAAGCAATAGGATAAGAGGCGAAGTCTGGCTGGAGGAGGACACAGGTAGAATACAGAAGAACCAGATTCTTCTCTCTTTATTCTCAAAACTCGCCCATTTCTCCTCACAAAGACTCAGTACCAAATTAGGCAAGCAGCCCAAGAAGCAAGAATGGAAAGGACTATGGATGAGAATGATGACCAAAATATTCTTATGGAGACGAGGAAATGCAGACATGTTCATGCTCATTTTGGAAAAACTACTAAGGGATATGAAACAGTTATATAGGAAAGGTTCCCTGGACTAGACGAGGTCCCAAGACAGGAGAGTGAGTGGGTCTCCTTTTTGGAGGGTCAGAATAGACCCGTGAGCATGACACAATGAGCTGTCATTCTCCTTTGGAGCTCACAAAACCTTACTGTATATATTTCTATGAAGACAAGAAAACCAAGAACATTCTTGGACTGAATCAACTCAATATATGAACTACACAGTATAGAGATAAAAACTACAGGCATACATGCACACACACACAAACACCATTAGTATATACATAATCCCCTAGTATAGACAACTGGAAAATCAATAAAATAAAGACTGGCAAACTATGGCCTAAGAGTCAAATCTAACACCTTATGTATTTTGATAAGTGCTCTGTTGGACAGTCATGTCTACTATGCATTCTCTCCAGTTGCTTTTAGGACAGCGCAGCATGGTTAAACAGTTAATACAAAGAACATAGAGCCCTGCAAAGATGAAAAATTCTATCTTGACCTTTACAGAAGGAGTTTTCCAACTCTGAAACAGAGAACATAAAAATAGTAAAAATGAAACTGAAAACAGATTCCTTAGAACACTAATGAAACTGTTCTAGTTGGATTAATCAGTGAAAAAGGAAACGAAGAATGTAGGGAAGAGATGGGTGTGGTGGCTTCATGCTTACAGTCCCAGCACTTAGGAGTCTGAAGCAGGAGGACTGCCCAGAATTTGATGCCAGCCTAGGATACACAGTGAGTTCTAGGCCATCCGAGCGAGGCTGTGTCACCCCTTCCCAAAATAGAGAGCGGGATGCTATAGAACACTGCTTGTTTTCAAAAAACTAATATGAAAATTTAACAATTTTATGTCAACAATTTGAAATCTTACGTGAAGTAAAAAAAAAAAAATCTTGCAAAACATATAATGCCATCTCTCCCTAAAGAACAGATAGATTTGGATAGTCCTATTCCTGCTAAAGAAACTGAATTTATAGTTAAACACCTCTCCACAAAAGAAACACTATACCAAGGTAGCTTCACTGAAACTTTCCAACATTTAAGAAATATTAATTCCCCACAAATTTGCAGAAAGTTGACGAGAACATCTTCAGCTCATTCCCCAAGGCCAGCATTATCCCATTATCAAACCAGAAAATGACATTACAAGAGGGGGCTGGAGAGATGGCTCAGCAGTTAAGAGCACTGACTGCTCTTGCAGAGGACCCAAGTTTGATTCCCAACAGCCACAGAGTGTCTAACAATAATCCATAATTCCAGTTCCAAGGGATCTGATGCCTTTTTCTGACCTCCGTGGGCATTGCACAACACAGGTGCACTTACATACATGCAGGGAATACACTCACTCATACACATAACATAAAAATAATAATATGTTTCACAAAATCAACATCCCTCACAAATATAGGTGTGGAATGCTGCTTACCACATTCCAGTGATGTGACCCCAGCAACACATATAAAGAATAATACATAGTGACCAGGTGGAGTTTAACCTTTAAAATGCAAGCAATAGATTCATCACATTAATCAGACGTTAAAAAAAAAATTCAATACAGAAAAACTGCTTGAAAAAAAAATCCAGCATCTACTAATTGATAAAAATTCAACAAACTGTTTACTTAATAAAGGGGATCTGTGAGAAACTTATACCTTCCATATTCAAAGGTGAAAGACCAAATGCTTTCCTCTAATGTTAGGAATACGGCAGATACGTCCACGCTCATTGGTTCCTACGCACTCATTATACTGGAAGTTCTGGCTAGACAATCAAACAAGAATATCATATACTGCAAAATACGAAGCTAAAGTGTCTGCATTCACTGAAAGTTCTAAGCTACCCCAAAAAAGCTTAAAAGTGAGTTTAACAAGATAGCAAGATACATGATCAATGTTCAAAAACTGTCCATATGTTAGCGACGAACATTTTGATTTTACAGGAAATCACAACTTCAAAAATATTGTTCAAAACAGCATCAAACATATGGCATACAGTGCAGTAAATGTGGACAAAAGAGGTGCAAGCCCTGCCCAGTAAAACCTATAAAACACTGCTGTGAAGAACGAAAGACCCAAACAATGAGAAGTGCTTGGACGGGCTGGGACACTGCACATCAAAATGTTGCTTCTTTCCAAATTCATCTCTTTGATGCCACTGCAATCAAACCGCCAACTGGCTCTTGGGGACAGAAACTTAGAATACAATTATTAGGTGCAGCAAAATTCACTCCTGGTGTGACTTCACTGTGACAAATTAGAGAATTTAAAATCTTCCAGAATCAGCATTCGGCCCAGAGCAGTTCTACCTACACCTCCTCAAGTGCCCTGAGCTATCTTTTCTTTGACTCCTTGTACACCTTTGATTGGCTCTCTGTTTATATTGCTTTCTCTTGTTTAAACTGTTGTACAAATGGAATTATTTAACATGCTGTTTTTTCAACCTGGCTCCTTCATGTAGCTAATTTCATACAACTAAGATTCATGTATGTTGTGGAATGCATCAACAACTTGTCCTGCATTAATCATTTTTAAATTGCTAATCAGTATTCCATGGGTGACTCTTTGCCTGATTGAGTACCATTTGGTTTGTTTCTAGTGTTGCATGACTACAAACAAAAGTTTTTATAGACATTCAAAGGTTTTTCTATGAAGACAGGTTTCCTTTTTTTTTTTGAGCCAGGGTCTACCTGTAGCCCCAGTTGACCTGAAACTCACTATGTAGACCAGGCTGGCCTCAAACTCAGAGGTCCACCTGTCTCTGCCTCCTGAGTGCTAGAACTAAAGGCATGTACCACCACGCCTGGCCAAAACAGGTTTTCATTATATGAATACTTATGAATGGGATTACTGGGTTGTACAGTAACTACAATTAGATCTCCATATTTGTGGGTTCCACATTCACAGATTCAATCAACCATGCATGGGAAATATTCAGGGGGAAAAATCCTATGTTTGCAAGGGTTATGCATAGACATTTTTCTTGTCATTCCTTAAACAATACAGTATGATTATTCACATAGCATTTATATCATATGAAATATAATTTACAGATGATTTAAACTATACAGAAGGATGTATATAGATTATACACAATACCATACCATTTTGTATATGGGACAGGAGAATGCAGACTTTACTATCTATGGACAAGTGGAGAGCAATCACTCATGGATACTGAGGGGTGGCTGTGTATCTTTAACCTTATGAGAAAATGCCACACTATCCCAAAGTGTATCATTTTGCACTTTCACTTGATACTCTGTATTCTTTTTAAAAAAATTTTAAAAACTTTGTGTGTTTGCCTTCATGTATATAAGCGCACCATATGCATGCAATGCCCACAGAGGCCAGAAGAGGGTCAGATCCCCCTGGAACTGGAGTTATGGACAATTGTGAGCTGCCATGTGAGCTCTGGGAATCAAACCCGGGTCCTCTGGAAGAACAGCAAGTGTTCTTAATTGCTGAGCCATCTCTCCAGTCCCTGATACTAAGTGTTCTTGCTAGCAACTGTACAGACAGCTTTTAAATAAAGGATTTGCAGTGATATTTTATTGTGATGTGTCTTCTCATAGCTTTTTGCTCAGTGCTTTATACTTGGTTGGTTGTTTTCTTATTTTTTTGAAAGCTTTTTACATCTTTTTGAAAAGTTCCTGTGTCCAATGTGTTCACAAAACCTATGATTCAGTTATTTTCTTTAAGCAAGGTGCCCTGTGATTCATTCTCTTAACAGTACATTTCACTTAGATGAAGGCCACTTGACCTTTTCTGGATAGTGTTCTTACTGTCACATCTTTATCTAATTTGAAATCTCAAAAACTTTTTAAGGTTATAGTTTTACTTTTTAATCAGGTTTGTGAATAAATTTTTATCTGAAGTGTGAAATAAAGTTGAAAGCTGGCTTTCTTGGTACTGTTAAAAGACATTCTTTCTTTACTGAATCACCTCTGAAGCTTTGTCAGATACCATTTAACCATGTGTGAGTCTCTTTCTGGACTCTCTTCTGGCCTATGACCACATGAGCTATTCTGCTAATGGCAAATTGTCTTGATAACTGTGAATCAGTGTCTTCAGTTGGTATTATGGGTCTTCCACTTGTTTTGGGTTTTCTTTATAACTGGTGGCTATTTTACCTCATCTGACTTTCCGCAGAGATCTTATAAACTATTTAAAATAAATTTTTAGCAATTTATATCTCTATTGATATTTATAAAAATTGATTTTGATTGGTATTATATCAAATCTGATGATTTAGGCAGAACTGATATTCTAACACTGTATATCTTTCTATTTAGTTCTTGTTTTTTGTAGGTTTTTTTGCAGTGTTTTATAACTTGTAGCATACAGAACCTAATAGGATTCAAATCTAAGTACTTTATTTTTCTCAAGCTACTGTAAACGGCACAGCTTTTCAGTATTTCCAGCACCAAATACTCACTGCTTATTTACAACTATTTTCTATATTGTTACCTTGCTTAACTTAATCCTAGATTGTTCTGAGTCCATGCTGTCTTCTATGCAGTCTTCCATGTTTGGGAATAGTTGTTTCCTCCTTTCCAGTCTGCAGCCTTTTTTTCTTGCCTAACGGTCCTTCACAGGAACCCCAGTACCATGGTGAACAGGAGTGACATGAAGGAATTCTTGTCCTCTTCTCAATCAAAGGGCAACAATAGGGACATTTGCTACCTGACTGTGGTGGTTGTTTCATATGCATGTGTGAAAAATTTTTATCAACACTTCAAATACACACAACTTAAATGTATATCCCAATAAAAAATAATTTACTAGATGCTTTTCTCAGCTTATGTGTGGGCAGTTGAAGTCCTCCATCCACATCTACTTCTGGATTATCTACAAAATCTCCATGACTATGTCTCTGCATGTCCTGTAAACACAGTTGTTGGGCTTTGGCCCTTACCTAATCTTCCCTGGCCTTTCTGCCTTGCTTCTCTTTACAGAATGGCAGAATTCTGCCCAAGTTAGCCATCACTATAGACAAAATGTTTCATGCTCTCCAAGCACAAGTTTCTTTTGAATGGTGTATTTCTTCATTGTTGTATCCCAGTAATGGATTTTGTTTCAACTATTTGCAGTGATGCTCTGCATTATTGTTCATCAAAAAGTTTACTGCTTCATTTTATTTATTTTTATTTTATGTTTTGCCTGCATGTAAGGGCTCCCAAGTGTGCAATGCCCAAAAGGGCCAGAAGAGGGCATTGGATTCCCTGGAACTGGTTAACTGGTTGTTAACTGCCAAATCGGTGCTGGGAACTGAGTGTGGATCCTCTGTAAGAGCATCTCATCTTAACTGCTGAGCCATCTCTCCAGCCCCCTTATTACTTAGTTTTAAATCACCCAAGATGGTCATTTTAAGATGCCTTTATCAAGTCTACTGTTACTATCTTTTGCTCATAAATTCAACCCCAGCTTTTAGGTGCTACCTCTCTGACTCCCAGGACTGTCCTTCTGAAGCTTGCTGCTCTAACCCAGGAACACAAAGCATGAAGAGCACAGCCTCTGCATTTACATTCTCTGGGTCCATCTCTCCATAATGATCCTCGGCAAATTTATGTTATGAATACACACACACACACATACACACAAATAGCTTGATGAATTCTCAAAGTAACCACAGCCATGTAGCCAAACACCTATGTTAGGAAAATAAAAACTACCAGTATCTCAGATTCTGGGATAAGAGCTTGTCAGGTGACCTTTATTTTTGTGGTAAAATAAAATCTGTAGAACATTAAAACTCCCATGATAAATTCCAGGAAATATAGCAAGTGATTCCCAACTGTTTCCTGATAAATGTAGTTGCTGTACTTTTGTGTCTACCCTAAATCTGCCATACAGAAAGTAGGGGTTTGAAATGGTAACCTAGGGGGTCTGGAGAGATGACTCAGCAGTTAAGAGCACTGGCTGCTCTTGCAGAGGACCTAGGTTCGACTCCTAGCACCCACATGGAAGCTAACAATCGTTCATAATTCTGGTGGTGCAGGCAAAACACTCACACACATAAAATAAAAATAAATAAATGAAAAATTTTAGAAATGCCATCCAAGAACAGAAAATGCCTAAGAGCAGAGAGCAAGTCTGTTTTCAAGATGAAGAACTGGATCTAGGGGGGAACTGCAGGAATGTGAGTTTAGAGCACACTGACAGAGAAAGCCACAGATGGTTAACCCTGGAGAAAGCACCCAGTCCAGCATGACAAAAGGAGGCTGCTCTGTAGAAATGCAGGCATGTGAGACACACAGGTGAACTACAGATGCTGGTCACACTTTCCTCTATTCCAGAGAGAAGATTCACTGAAAGGAGTTCAAGGCTCGGGCGGGGCTTCGCAGCATTTCAAAAGACTTCAGGATCTCCCTTTGTACTCCCAAGCAGAAGACATTCTCCAAGAGAAAGGAACACATACCTGCTCTTTGACTTCAATGTTGTGCTCCCCTTCCAGGATAAGGGTGACGGCCTGCATGATCTGCTTTCCATGAGTGCTCATTATCTTATCTATGTGCTGCAAAGCAACAGGAAACCCAGTCATCACCCAGGAACAAGTGAAAGCACCATGCGAGGCCTCTTATTTTCCTTTGTTTTGGTTTTAGTTTATTGAGACAGGATCTCTTGTAGTTGATAAAGACCTTGAATTCTTGATCCTCCTGCTCCAATTCCAAAGTGCTGAGATTACAGGCCATGTACCAACACACCTGACTTACAGGCTTCTTAAATTATATGATATATAATCGCTTCAAGTAGAACAACATAGCACACAGAATTAGACTCCAAAGATCAGTGTTTATTGTATTTATGTGTGTGTGTGTGTGTGTGTGTGTGTATTGTTTTTGTTTGTTTTTCAACAGCGAAGAGAACACTGGGTTGGCTCCAAAGAATACAAAACTAAAATCTCTGAGGATCCTCAAAGCCAAAGAAAAAAAAGCAAGAGACATGGAATTATGGTGTGAGTTTACTAATACTGTTTTAAGTGTACAAACATATAAAGATGATTCAAAAGACAAATAATAAGCCACAGAGAAAGGCATCACCTTGTTTCTCCATCTACCTGAAATCCACTGATAATGATGCCCAGGAACATCAGAGAGCACCCACAGTGACCCTACCAGCAAGGCCCAGCCTCTCCTACTCTGCCAACAGGCCCACTTCTCTCCACAATGACATGAGGTCAAGCCTGAACATGTGGGCAGGGATCCGGGACCATCTGTGGAAAGGCACTGAGGAGAATTCTTTACAGGAGCATGAGCAGGAGCCTCAGAGACAAGTGATTTGGGCAAGAGAGAAGACCCATCCTGGCCAGCAAAGCAGGTAAGAATAAAGGGATCAATCAAGGCAGATGCAAATCCAGAAGAGAGAAACACTGGACATGCAGTACAGTGGTGGCTGGGGCTACACAGTGAAGTACTTCCCAGAATATCTGGCAAGTGCTAGACCCTTGCTTCTTTGGAATGGGGCAGCATCTGAATCACACTCAGGCAGATGCTGACAATGCATAGGCAGGACTAGTAGGTGATTTTACTTACAGGCCTGGTAGAGAGGAGATTTCTCAGAAGTCCCAATGTCTTCATCAGCACATTCAAATCTGAATCTGATAATAACCGGAATAGCTGTTCCGTACTCAAACTCCGTAAGATATCTGCTTTTATTTTTTGTTCAGCCTGAAATGCCATATTCTGAAAGGATTAAAGACAGGGTAAGAATCATGTCTATGGTTACTGTATTAAATCCTATTTTAACAGAACTCTGATAATTTTCAAAGTATCAACAGAATCTACAGAAAATCTTAAGCTTCAGTCATACTATTTTCTGATTCCTGTTCACCGCCTATATTTGTGTGTCAAGACAGAGAGAGCTACTACTTTCGATATACTTCTAGATGAAGGATATAACTATTTATTGACATGGGCACTTGAATCAATACAAACATACTTATTACCTTTGAGAATATCTTTATGGTTAGAAAGTTGCCTTCTGTATACTTTATGCTAGGTGTTTCGATGGCCTATCACACAGGAAGCTCTCCAGTGGGTAGGAGGTGTGTCCTGGCTATTAGCAACTCAGAGGGCCAGTAGCTACTTTGCTTCTTTTATTTTTTAATTCATATAACAGATCAGCCCAGTTTTACTCCAAGCTATAATAATATGTCTGAAGGAAAAAAAAAAAAAAAAGGAAACGCCAAACAGCAGTTCATGTATCAACTTTTGCTATTAGAACTCTCTTCTAAACTAGAGGCATACAATAACTAGAGGCATACAGTAACAACATACAGTATGTCACTACTGCCCTCCAGTAGGCACTTTCTTTAATTAAGCAGCTAAGACCTATCAGAGACCAAGGTACCAATGACGTCAAGATAACATGACAGAGTTGAAAGAGTACTTGCTTGCGTGTCAGAGACCCAGGCCAACGATAATCCCAAGATGTTTTGTGGACAGAGATCATAGGAACACATGACAGACAGGCAGATGAGAATACCACAGCTTATCTGGGTTTCAGAATGGGAAGATAAACTCAGTTTCTAGTACTGAAGCTGTGCACATCCAGGAGCTTGCAACACAAGTCCTATCAACTGTCTAAGTGAAGGAGCTGGGGAGTAGGTGACAATTATGTCTAGATACAGATATTTCAAAAGAAGCTCTTCATTAGGGAGAGTTCCTGAAACTGGGAGCTGAATACTGGGAGAACATCCCTTGAAAAGGTGGATGAAGGGAGGGAAGGTAGAAAGTGAGTTTAAAAAAAAAATTAAGTCCTGGGAAAGTGTTTTGGGAATGACTAAAACCTGTGCTTTTAGAAAAATAACGAAGAAACTACTGGATTTGGTATTTTATTAGAGTATTATGTCTATCCTTGGGTTTGTGTCAAGAACTCAGCAGATACAGCACGGAGCAGGGAAACGAACACAGGCTTGGAAGGGTCTGGGATCCACCCCTTTTCTCTTTCCTTCTTTCTACTTGCCATAAAGCCTTCAACCTCTAAATTACTTCACCCTCCTTGAGTGCCAGTTTCTCATTTTGAAGGCAGATACATTGCAATACAACTTAAGGTAGCACTTACAGAGCAGGCAGGATGGCTCAGTGGGTAAAGGCATTTACCACTAAGCCTAATGACCTGAGTTCAATCCCCAGGACCCACATGATGACGAGAACTCACCCATACCAGTTGACTTCTGACCTCCACACATGCGCTATGGCATGCACACACCCTCCCAATACAGGTAATAAAAAAATTTTAAATAGCAGTTATAAATATAAAACATCTAGCTTTGGTCTGGTACACAGCAATTAAACTACAACTGTCATAACTATGCTTTAAAAAACCCATATAGGTTCACATCCTCTTCAAATTCAATAAAGTTTACTTTAATCATCTTAAGAAGAAAGTTCTGACGTCATAATTTTAGAAACTGTTATTATGTTTACTATAAACTGTTGCATTACCAAATATTTATGCACCAATTAAGTTACTTTGGTAAGGTAATCACTCCACAAACCATGCTAAGTCTGTGGACAGTGCTTACATTAGCTACCTCAAGTCAGCTCTTCTGGGATGGGCATCTTTTGTAACGTGTTATGTACTATAAACATATGTTCTCATCTGTCAATTAAAACAGTGATAATTCTGAGACTTGGTATACCTATCTGTACAGAATATGCTCTACCTTATTTTGTAGTTTTTGAAAAAAAGCAAAGGAATTGCGAAAGTATAAAATAAGCAGTTCCCCACGAATATCAGTATGTCTGTAAGAAAACAAATTGATTTTTCCAAAATTAGGTAAGTGAAGTTTCAACACCTATTCACTTTCTGTGGTACTAGAAATGATGCACATGGTGTGGCCCAGCAACTTGCTTACAGCCAGATCTGAAGATGAAGACTGAGTCTCTTGGGTCATTAGAAAACTGCACCACATTAGCCAGGACTTTAAAAAAGAAAATCCTTGAAGAACACATTGCCAGGTTCTAATTTTGATAATATCTCTATTTTCTTTATAAATTATGACACAAAAAGGTGGACACATACCATTAAAGCCCAAATTCCATTCACTCGTAAAGCAGGATTTTCACTCTGGGTTAATCCACAAAGTAGCTCTACAGCTCCTGATTCTAAAATGGGCTGTGATTGGAACGGGAAACACAAGACAAAATAATAATGTTAACAACAATAAAATAAAACTCCCAGCCCTCAGGTCAGATTTGCAAACTAAATGTGCATATACCCTGGGTATGAATAATTTCTTCCTGGGGGGTTGGGGCGGGGCAGTGCCAGAGGCCGTGCCATTTCCTTTCTTCACAGTCTTGAAAGACTCCATTGGCATCCTACGCACCTGTTCCTTCCACACAATCCCATTAGATTCCACTGTCTAGCTCCAGACCCTCATCTCTCTTATTATGGCTCCCGACTCTCTCCTCTAGCTCTTCTCTATCTACCTCTTCTCTTCCCATCACCCAGTTCCCTACTTGTATTCTCTTTGCTCCAAACATGTTGCAGAACTCCTATTGGGGACCATTTTTAGCACTAAGTATTAATGACACAAGCAAAGCACAAGTGTGCTTTTAAAATCGTGCCACATTTTATACCCAGAATAGTATACCATAGCCCAACTACTTTCTATAGTTATAATACTTGGCTGAAAATGGGTTTTCAGAGATGAAAAATTCAAGTCTTAGAAGATCAAGATTTATCGTTAAGGAATATTGGAAGGTCATATGCCAAGTGGTTATCAGAAGCATCTTAAGCAATTCAGATGTGGAGACCCAGGAAGGCTGGTGCCTTTCGAGATGACATCTCTGAAGAGTATGTATTCCTGTACAAACTGGTATTTCTAACACTTTGCCACAGTTACTTGATCATCTTTCTTATTCTATATAATGTGTGCTTCCTAAGAACAAAGGCATTCTTAAATATAGTCACAGCATAGTCACTAAATACAAAAAATTAGAATTAAATTAAAAGAATATTTTATCTCTGTACTCCTCATTCCAATTCGGCCAACTGGTTCAACAGTGTTCTCATTGCATTTCCCTCCCTCCTATACCAGGATCCAGTTTTGCTTTTTTTTTTTTTTGGTCTCCCTGTAACCCCAGCTGGCCTAGATCTCACAAAGATCCACCTGCCTCTGCCTCCCGAGTACTGGGATTAAAGGTGTGTGCCAACATGCCTAGCCAGATTCCATCTTATATTTTAATATAAAAAGATTATTCTGCTGGGCGTGGTGGCGCACACCTTTAATCCCAGCACTCGGGAGGCAGAGGCAGGTGGATCTCTGTGAGTTCAAGGCCAGCCTGGTCTACATAGTGAGTTCCAGGACAGCAGGGGCTACAGAGAGACCCTGCTTCAAAAAGACCAAAAAAAAGATCATCCATATAAATGATTCTTCATTGGAGTTCATACCCATCATTGGACACTAAGACTGTGTTCTAGATGGTTATGGGGTTGCACTGACTGTAACTCTGTCATGATCAGGTCAGGTCTCTACACAGGTAGAGAACAGAGGGTGGCTCTGCCAGCTTTCTGTCTTGCTTCCTCTCCACCCTCTACTGTTGTAAGAGTTTTCAGTAACTCTGTGACTTCCACCTTGTCAATACTGCCTCTCCAATTCAAGCCCCAAACCACAGATATTGGAACGTAGTAAAACTAACTGTATAAAGTTTCTTCTCCTTTATAAATTTTAAAAATTATAAATTTTAGTTATAAATTTTAGTTTTCTTTATTTAAAAAATACTCAACTTACTTTAAAGATATTATAAAACCTGAAGTAAGTTGACTATGCCAGGTAGAATAAAGGAATAATGGAATTATGATCCTGAAAAACAAATGACTTATTTGTTCCCTTCCCTACCCAAATCAAACAATTCAGAAATAGATCTTTTTTGAATTGTAAAATTTTATTAAACCCCACCCACATATTTCAATGCCAACTACTATTTTTTGTTTGTTTGTTTTTTTCAAAAAGCATATGACCAATCTTAGAAAAAGCATATGACCAATCTTAGTAGGACAAGAGGAGAAAATAAACACTAACCTCTTTACTTGGAGAAAATTCAAGAAGGAGGTTACATAACATAGAAGATGCTACTACTAAGATTTCATCTGGTGCATTTTGCAAAACCTACAGAATAAAAAAAGGAGGCCATTAATTGTTTGAAATTGTGAAAGTGAGATTGTATAAGATAAAGAAAATTCAAAACAATTATAAGAAAAAGAAAACCCAACACAATTACCTTTCAACTTGATATCTCATATTGGACAGTATAATGTAGGAAAATACACTATAATTTAGAAGCTGACTATAATGGCAAACAAGAATTTTATTAAAATTGGGCTGTGGATGTAGCTACTAAGTTGGTAGAGTGCTTGCCCACTATTTATCAGGCCCTGGGTTTGATTCCCAGTACCAGACACACAAAAAAGGTATGTGTGTATATTTTACCAAAACAGAAATTTAAAAATTATAAACAAGAATTTTTATTAAAATTAACTAGCTACCCTCCTACATTTTACTAACCAACATATTAAAATACGAGAAAACAAACGAGAAAGAAACCATTAGATACATTAGATACAGCCTCTAAACCAGAAACCGGAGTATGTAAAACAAATCATTGTTTCTTTAGGCTTCAAATAGTACATCTTTTTACTTTTATTTGCTATTTGGGGGTGGAGGGGGTGAGACAAGGCCACTATGTAGCCCTGGATGGCCTGGAACTCTATAATAAAGGCTGGGCTCAAAAATCACAGAGTACCACCTGTCTCTGCTGTGAGTGCTGGGATTAAAGGCCTAAGAAATCACACCCAGTCCAAATACTTCATTCCCCCCTCCCCCTTTTTTTTTTTTTTTTTTTTGGTCTTTTTGAGACAGGGTCTACCTGTAGCCACAGCTGGCCTGGATTCGCTATGGAGACCAGGCTAGCCTCTAACTCACAGAGCTCTACCTGCCTCTGCCTCTGCCTCCCGAGTGCTGGGATTAAAGGCATGAGCCGTCTCACCTGGCCAAATACTTCATCTTAAATGCAAGACTAAGTCATAATATGAAATTTTAGCACACATATAGTTAAGAGTCAAAATTCTTCCAGGCTGCCCATCAAACCTTTGTCCTAGGAAGAGACAGAAATCATGTTGCTGCATTTCTGATTTATATGACAGAGGTTTTGAGCAAAGCAATCAGAGAAAATTGCTCTAGATGCAAAATAAACTATTTTGGGAAACAGAAAACAATTAAAAAGTCTCGAATGGATAATAAATAAATCAAGATCAAGCTATACTTAAAAAAAATAATACAATCTGCGAGGAAGAGTAGGCGCCGTGAAAGAAAACATCAATGACTGAGGAGAGCCTTCAAAAATCTAGGATGATAAATTTGACCACACTGGTTTTAAATAGGAGAGCTTTTGTTGATGCAAATTAGTTCACTCTTGAGGTACTTTCCAGTATAGAAAGGCACTGAGCCAGGAGTGGTGGCGCACACCTTTAATCCCAGCACTTGGGAGGCAGAGGCAGGTGGATCTCTGTGAGTTCAAGGCCAGCCTGGTCTACATAGTGAGTTCCAGGCCAGCCAGGGCTACAGAGAGACCTTGTCTCAAAAAGACCAAAATAAATAAATAAATAAAATAAAAAATAAATAAATATTTAACAAAAAAATTCACTCTACACAAGACTCAGCCATATTTCTAGACTTGGGGGATGCTGCTGGCCAGCTCAGCTCACACACACATTTGCTCTGCAAACTCATTACTTGGTGACCCTTTCTCACCTTCATTAAAGGTTTCCACACAGCATGATCCTGGAAACTGGTTCGAAGCTGCTGTACAGATCTGGATAAACTGTGCAAACATCTATAAAGAATGATTAAAATTAGCTTCCCAAGAAGCCAAAATTTCCATTTGAAATTATCTGCTTGGCTTTTCACTAGTACAAATGTATACTTCAAGCATGTCTACGGATTCTAAGCCAACTACATCAAGAACCCACAGGTGCTGGAGGCTAAGTTTTGTTAGGTAACATTACACGCTGCATGAATTCACCTGAGCATATTTTCCAGTAACATTTGGATCCTGTGCTTACTCAGTGAAGGACCGGAAAGGAAACAGGCTAAACACACAGCAAAAGATTTTTATTCAGACCATGTAAAGCTCATACCTGACAGCAGCTAACCGCACCTTGACACTAGACTCAGACAAGCCAGTCACAATTCGGTCCATCATATTTTCAGTCTCAATGATCTGGAGAAAAAGGTTAATGCTGCATAAATAACAACACGAAGGTGACAAACTTCACTGTCTGCAAATCAAGTATGTCAATATTGATTAAAAGTTAAATGTTTTCAGCAAAAGGCTTTACCTCTCACACAACCATCTTGCAGTGGGATGGGCAGCAGAAGGGCTGGGCTAAGCGCCCACAGAGGACAAGCCGAGCTGAGACAGGCACAATATGTTTCTTTTTAAAGGTACTTGAAACAAAATTTAAATGACATAAGTATTGCAGGTGTTGCATAAACAATCTGGGGTGAGAGGAATATAAGTGAAGTATTAGGGAGGTTCCTGTAAGAATCTAGAAAAAATCAAGGCCTTCATTGCCCTTGTGACATGACTGAAATCTATAGGTTTCTGACAGAGCCACCTTGTGGCCACTTTTTTTATTTTTACTGAGCTTTTGTAATTTCAAACAGTTCTTAATCAAATTTAGAGCCCCTCCCCTACTTTTTTACTAAGAAAATTTAAACTAAGTTAAATATTTAGAAAAATAACCTTTGCCATCCTTTACCATGTAATCACTACAATCATGAAAGTTTTTTTTTAACTTTAAGATAACATGAAATTCGCCTTTTCCTATCAGAGTGTTAATGCAATCTCAAAAACATTAACAAAAATAGTGGCTCTTTCCTGAAGTTATGTATGTGCCAGGCATTGTGTTAAGCATGTTATACTCTCTGATTATCTGACATCTCTTTTGCAAGCAATTATTATGAAGATTTTCACTCATATAGTAGGAAATTGAGGATTCTAATAACAGAGTTGTCTGACTCCAGAGTCCATATGCTTAGCCACACTTGTCATAGTGCCCTAGTTAACAGTTAAGTGAGCCAGTTCTCAATATGAATGATCCATCAATGGAAGGAGCCATTACTTTTGCCCTCGTGAACACCTAGCCCTGAACAATCCCCCCGAGGGAGCTTTTCCAAGTCCTTATGTCTGGAACACACCAATTAAATCAGATTCTTGGGTAGACAGACACCTAAATTTTTAAAAAAAGCTCCTCTGGTAAGTCCACTGTGCAGCCAAGGCTGAAGCTACAGATACAGAGTAAGATGAGAGGATTCAGAAGCCTGGCTTCAGGACCAGAGGAGGTGGGAAACCTGAGAATGATCAGAGCCAAACAGGAGGAGAGCAGAAAACAGTTCAAATTACCAGTGACCAGTAAAGATGGCTTAGTGGGTAATGGTGCTTGCAACAGAGACTGATGACCTGAGCCCAATCACTTGGACCCACTTGATGGAAGGAGAGAACTACACACTCACACCTACACCCACTCGTGTCCACGCAGAACAGGACACCACACTTTGGCTATAGGTTAGGAAATTTCCATACATGTTTTATGGTGTCCAAATGGCCCAAGAATGTTGGTCTATTCCTTATGCCAGACCAAACTAATCCCAGTCTCACCTTTATGAACATGTGTTCTGTCCCCATCATCATTTCTGACCCCCACATGCCTTTCCCCTTCCTAGGCTAGCTACTCTTTTTAACCCTCTTACACTTTTCCGACGTGGATGTCTGCCTGTCTCTCAGCATACACAACCCCACCTCTGCCAGACACCCATTGCTGGTCACGCAGCCCAGTACTCACCTACAGGATAGCCCCATATTCCTCCCTCCCACTTCAACTTCTTCCTAGCTGCATCATGCCCTCCGTTCCTCTGCACTCTGCTATAATTTGTAGGGCTTTGTTGCCCCCCCCCCCCCAGCTCTGGCACATAAGCTGCCTCAACAGCCTACTTTTTTTGTATGTGTGTGATACAGGGTTTCACTATGTAGCCCTAGCTGGCCTGGAACTTGCTATGTAGACCAGACCAGGCTGGCCTTGAACTCAGAGATCCACTGAGTGCTGAGCAGTGGGACTACTGGTGTGCAATACCATGCCCTGCCAGCCCACTTTTATTCCTTTTGAGAAGGGTCTCACTATGTTGCTGCAGCTGGCCGCCAACTGAAATACAGGAGCCCAAATGATCCTCCCACCTGGGGTCCTGAGCGGGGGAGACTACAAGCCTCTGCCATTAGACGCAGGCTGCGAGCCCACTTCTTACTGAAATGTCTCCATTCTGTTCCTTTTTATCTCTACCCTTGTTATGCTGAAATTAGGTTCGTGAGGCTAAGTCCTTCTACCATGAACCCCAAACTGCCTCCCCATTTCTTTCTTGCATCTTTATCCTACCTGCTGGGCCCTCTCTCAGCCTGCCTCACTGCCTACTCCCATCCCTATTTAAAAGACGGTGGTACCTACGTCATAGTCCTCTCGCTGTTTCCCATCCTTAAAAAGGTATGTATTACCTGTACAAGATCAAGCCAGTCAACATTCCAACATAGAGGGAGGATGGGCTCAGGAGTCCCAACTCCTAGCTGAGGAGTTATTGAGAGTTGATGGCTGCTGGGGGAGGGAGAGTCTGTGTTCTTTAACAGTGTGTGAACCCCGGTAGGTTGACCTGGTCCAGTGGATGACCACACACCCATGAGTATATGGGCAGCAAAAATTACATTAGGTGGGTTTTTTTTGTTTAAATAAATAAGAGGACATGAAGTTGGGAGGGGGTGGGAAGGTGAGGGTGGATCTGGGAGGAGATAGTGGGAAGAGTTGGGGGGTGAATATGATCAAAACAGATTGCATGCATGCAATTCTTAAAGAAAAAGAAAGCTTTAAAAGGGTATCTATCCCAAAGGCTAGGGCCATCTCTGTACATATAACAATGTTGTGACTCAGGACAACCCTGGAATGGGTAATTTCCTAATCTAAAATTCTATCCTAGAATTCTTTCCTGACCTCTAACCCCATATCTGCGACTGTCTGATAAACATAATTTGGATGTTCAGAGCAACTTCTGATTGACTATGTACTACATTGCTTACCTCCCACTCCATCTCAGGCTCAGCTAAGAATACTTGTTGCCTGTGTCTTATCTAAACTTCTGTTACCCTTGGCTCCAACTCTTCCTCCCCAACCCAGTTTCCTTTGCACTGTATCTTCTATTTGTGCTGTTACCATTCCCGCTCCACTTAGGCTGTTAGACTTCATTACTATTTCAGTGTATAATGATATTTCTCAATCATCTCATCTTTGCTACTTGCTACAGCAACCTTATATAAAGGGCAGGCTGCCCAAGGAGTTACTTCATTCTCATGCTATCCACTGTTCTTGAAGCAGGCAAAGCTAAATCAGAACTTTCAGCATGAGGAAAAACAAACCAACACACCCTAAACCTGGGCACAAAAGCCTCGCACACTAAGAAATCACCTGGTGCCTTAGGGAATTATTTTTACTTAGAGAACTGATAACTTGAAAAAATTGCCTTTATTGGACAATGTCATCAACTCTGTGTGTGTGTGTGTGTATGTGTAGAATGTGACACACAATTACTTTCCAAGAAAAAACACATTAGCCCTTGCTCCAGGTCCTTAGAAAACCCAGGCATGGGCAAGACTTGAGAGAGGTCCCATCTAATAAAGGCGACAGATCACAAATGCCAGAAACTGGCCTAGTGACATGGCTCAGGGGGCTTAAGGGGCTTGCCACCAAGCCTGTCCAGAACCCACATGGTGAAAGGAAAGAACTGACACACAAGTGTCCTCTGACCGCCACATGTACACCACGACCTTCATGCCTGTGCATACACTCCCCATCCCCAATAAACAAATAAATGCTTGAAACTGCTTAGCCCCATGAAAAATCTGAATTCTGTATATGAAATGGCCCAGAAAATTCTAGAAGCTTAGTATGGACCCAGGTCAAGGCTGTGACCCCTTCCCAAAGTTATTAGGGTTGACAAACATTGAAGGGGAAGGAACAGTGTTGATGAGAAGTAAAATGAGTGGACAGTCAACCTACTGGGTGAGGAATAAAATACAGTGTCACGCAGCGTATGTGCTATATAATCTTGAGCAACTGCTTTGCCTCTCTGGGCCTTGAGCAAAATGAGGAGACAGCACTCCTTACTAACAGTAGGCAAACAATCAGTCTGTCTGGACTGAACCAACATGGAAAACAAGGTAGGCAGGAAGAGTCCTAGCACCCTGCAATGGCACCTTGAGTCCTTTCAGGACGTAGGAGCAATGCCAAATGGAGCTGGAAGTGGTTCTGTCTCATGGATCTTGGAGATTCCATAAAGAAAAAGAGACAGTGCCCTCTGTTACAGACTCTTGAGCCCAGACAGAATGTAGACTGGCAACAGTCGGTCTTTTTAGTGGAGGTGGGCATCCTTTTTCTTCTAGGAACCTAGCCTGTAAATATAACTACAGAATGAAAATCACTGCATCCAAAACTGATCAAGTTTTAGGTCAATGGACTAAGTGTTTTGCTGATGTCTACAGTCTGCATGACTATATGTTAGTGCTAATCTTTTTGTTTCTGGTTTTGCAATTCTTTTAGCAATCTATTAGAACAGAATTGGACTTCCTATCACCAGCACAAGAGATTCTATGGCCTGTGAAAGAAAGGAGCAATCAGCACATGTCACGGAGAAAGTGCAAGAACCCACACAACACCAAGAACCACACAACACCAAGATAGCTCAGTGCATATACGCGGATGCCAACGATAAAGCTGTCCTTAGGTACCAGACAAATCCTCAGTCGTTCACGAATGAACTGTAGCAGACCCATAACTTAGTTGTGGCTGGGGCATAAAATCATTTTCTCCTCAGAGCTTAGAAAGAACTACAAGTCAGAAATGTAGTCATTAAAGAAAAAGAAAGTGAAACAAAACACTCATTCAATTCTTCTTCAGCAAGATTCAGGATGAAGTATTCTTTAGGTACTAGAAAGAATTAAGTTTAGACTTTGAACTGTTTTCAAAACAGGCCAAGCAAAATACCCAGAAAGTGAAGCCTGACAGATTCTTGGTGTTATTGGTAAACTTTGCAAGCAATTTTAAGGTAGGTAGATTTGGGGTCAAAGAGGTAGACGGCAAAATGGTCATTATCTTAACAGCTATCACTTTATGCTAATGTGCACAA